AGGTGCAAACCATGCAGGCCGTTATCGCTCACAAGGTGCGACCACGTAGTCTGATGGTGTTTTCGTCACCCTCACTTGTGCCAAAATCTCCAGGTTCAGTAAACAGCTCGCCCGTGAGTGCGTCGGCTATTGAACCCGGCAAATCATTCCGTCATGTTCGTACGAGGTCTCTACCTAATGAGGCGGCCACACTCAACTCCGCTGAGGAGGAGCCAGAGTCGCCAACAGACCACCCATCGCCCACCGCATCGGAGAAAAAGCAACTAGAGACTATGTACGAGGACGATGAATCCGCAGAATATGTGGATGCAGCCGAAACTACTACACCTGGCATTGCTGTCACGACAGAACACGAAAAGACACCTGCAGAAGCTTCCGAAAATACGAGAATGTCGATCTTGCATGAAGAAGAAGAGGACACGCCTCCTGTCAGTGAGATGGTTGCATCCTTGCGAGCTATCGCACAAGATGAAGACGCTATGACCGATCAATCCAATAGTGCTCGCGTCTCCATCGTATCCTTGGGCGATCGGCCGAATCAGAAAGACCCAGAGGTGATTGAGGGCACGGGATTATGCGAAAAGCCTAAATTGACTTCGACGGTACAACGACCGAAACGACAATCCTCCAGGGATGTCAGCCTACTGAATGCAAGGTCGATCTCTGAACAGACTAGCGATTCAGGAATGCAAGCAGTTGCGGAGAGTCAGCCTTCAACGCAAGGGGTTGAGACCACGCCGGCTCCACCCGCACCCCCCATCGAGGCTGTCACATCTTCTATCGATCACGATGCGACCAATGATCTGAATAACATGGCCACGACCACCACCCCTCCGGCTCAGCCATCAGAGGCATGCACCGAAACGGCAAAATCTTCAAAATCTCTCCCCGTCGATATCACTCGCCCGACTTCTAGTTCAGGTAATTCGCAGCGATCGAAAACTCGCCCCAGACCTGCTCCTTTGGAGGTCACAGCCAGCAACCGAAGCTCCCCCGCCTCCGCCTCCGCCTCCGCGGTTGAGCGAGCCGCTGTTCAGCGTATGTCTCGGCCATCGACGTCGACGGCTTCATCTATCATCACTAAAACCCGTCGGTCTGGGAGCTTCGGCAGTGCTCGCGAGAATACGCGTCCAGTAACTGCTGGCTCTACCACATCGCACGTTTCTAGCAAGCTGAAGGGTCTCATGGGTCGACCACTGGGTGAATCTGGTTCGCCCCGCATGCGCAGTTCGTCTGAAACCAGTCGCGCATCTGGGAGCGTAGACTCTGTAGACGACGATATTGCCGACTTGGATAAGTTGATCAACAGTGATGAGACTATCCATTACACCCTTACTCCGCGAAGTGTCAGGGAGATGACCTTACCTGACATGCCTAGCCGATCAGTTCCTCGATCAGAGACGGCAGGCGTCTCCGACCTGGCTGAATTCTTAAATACCACCGCGCCACCGGACGAAGAAAAACACCGCCCTCAAGCCTCAGTTTCCTCAAAAGCAACTGGGGAGATGACTCCAATCTCTCACACCAGATCCATTGAGTCACCCAAGCACGTCCCGCTTACTACGCGCTTGACCAACATGTCATCAACATCGAGGTCTAGCAAGATTGGACACGCGCGCGACGCGCGAATCTCCCCCTCAGATTCGACACGCGACTTCGCGGAATTCATGAGATCGACTGGCCCTGCTAGTGGGCCAAACGAGCCTAAGACCTCTATCTCTGCCGAGAGCACCCGTCCTGTTCGTCCTCCCTCAACTCTCTCCACTGCGTCCCGTGGAAACCGACCTAAGCTTCAAGCCCGATCTGCCGAGACGGGAGGATCTCAGACTTCGGATCTCATCGACTTCATTCGTGAAGGGCCTCCTATGCCTGCAGGTGCGCACCGAATTCCTCGGACAGTCGCACCTTTCCGCAACACCATTGATTCGGATGATCTTCAACTGGATAACACTACATCCAACTCTTTCGTGAGCACTGGTAATGGATCCACGCCCAATAAATCCTTGACATCTCTTGGTTCGCGGTCCGGCTTGCTGGATTCAAACCGAACCAAGGCTACAGCATCCGGAAGCGCCACAGACTTCGACGAGCCCCAGCCTGTTCGGAAGCAGCGCCGTGCTCCAGATCCTTACGCCATTGACGACGATGATGACGCTCTTCTAGAAGAGCTTCTGGAAAAGGAACAAAATCCCAAGCCTAAGCGCGAAGAGGAGAGCCTGATGGATTTCCTGCGCAATGCTCCTCCTCCACCACCCTCTGAGCAAACCCCACAGCCATTTGCAATCAGTGCTCCTGCATCAAATGGTCTCTCCGGCGCATCAGGCATGAAGGCACGTCTGCTCCGGACCTCTCAAAACTCCTTGCGCACACAAAATCCCCCCACAAAGGTCCAATCCAACTACTCTGCCAAGGTGGGCCAGGAGCGCAACACTGGCACCATGCCTTCCATCTCAAACCGCCGGACCGACACCGGTGATTTGGCGGATTTCCTCCGAAACACCGGGCCTCCTCCGGCCCCTAACCGATCTTCCATACCAATGGGCTCTAAGGCGAAGGACGGTGGCTTCTCCCGTTTCTTTGCGCGCCGAAAGAAGGTCGAGGCCTAAAGGTTTGAAGTACCCTGACGACATTCTCGACTAATGTCTTGCATTGCTGAGCGTTCTAATTCATCTAACGATCTACATATCATGTCCATCGCTTCGGCCTTCCTTGTTTGTGCAACAGCACTGCCATCTCTATCATTCCCCTTCTTTTCACTTTGTTCACATAGAGTCATGTCCTCTTTTCCTTATTGTTTACTATGGCTACGACCGGGTGGCTTTTTCCTATCTTTTCTTGCGCTTTTGTGCGCCACATTATTTCCTACCTTTCTGCGTGCGACTAAATGATTAATACGGACTTCGGGTTTTCCATTTTGTCTCTTTGCTGGGACGTCGCTTTGATTGCTTTCGTGGATTTCGAGATACCATGTCTATTCTATACTTGGGCTATTTTTCAATGCCCTGACACTCAGAAACCATTTCATTCTTCTGTGAACACCATAACTCCAACACGTAGTAATAACCCGACTTGTGCAAATACAAACAATTAGACCTAGCAATATTTGCTGCGTGAAAGAAGAATCCCTCGAAGTATAGACCGCAGACTGTGGCACCGGAACAAAGTTAATCCCGCACTCCCCTTACCAGGTGTCATCAACAGCAAGCATCCGTGTTTACAACCGCCAATTCCACGCCGCAACAATGGGCACCTCACCAATCACGCTGAGGGCCATCCTTAGCTTCCTCTTTGTCTTCGTTCAGCTCGCCAGTGCCCTAAAATTCGACCTCGTCGCCACCTCCGGCGGCGGCAAGAACGAGCGATGCATTCGCAACTTCGTCTCCAAGGACCAGCTCGTCGTTGTCACTGCCATCGTTGGTGGCTCGAAGGGTGATGGCCAGAAGGTCAACATTCATGTACGTGGGACTATTTCTGGATGTGGATGGGATTTCGTTCTTGGTCTGCTGGGACTTGGAAGCCAAAGCCGAATTACTGAATTGTGGACCGCGACTAATTCTTCTTTTTCTCTATATAGATCAAGGACGCTATGGGCAATGACTACGGTCGCCCTAAGGACGTCGTCGGCGAGACGCGTCAACTTTTCACTTCGCCCGCGGACACAGCTTTCGACGTCTGCTTTGAAAACCAGCTTGTCGGCCACAGTAAGTGGCAGTCCCCTCGCATAACACACCCAATTCGCCGAGGAAAATGCCGTAGTTAAAGAGGAAACGATACTAAAACAACACCACCCCATCAGACACCATCCAGAACCCCTCCCGCCCCATCGAACTTGACGTCGACATTGGCGCCGATGCCCGCGACTGGAACAGCATCCAATCGCAGGAGAAGCTCAAGCCTGTCGAGACAGACCTCCGCCGCATTGAGGAGATGGTTGCCGATATCGTGACCGAGATGGAGTACCTGCGTGCGCGTGAGCAGCGTTTGCGTGATACCAATGAGAGCACCAATGAGCGCGTGAAGTGGTTCGCTTTTGGTACCATGGGTATGCTTATCGGGCTGGGTGCTTGGCAGGTTGTTTACCTGAGGGCTTACTTCAGGTATGTCGAATTGTGGTTGTGGTTGAAGGTGGGAATGGTTACTGACTATCTGGTTCTTGCAGATCTAAGCACCTTATCTAGATTTACTAGTCCATGGAATGGTTGCATCTTTGATGGTTCTTTTTTTGGTTTTGCAGCGGTTGCATTGCAAATCCTTTTGCTCTAATGTCGAGTGGCATTCTGTTCAACAGTCATGATCTCAATGATATAAAATGTACACCATGCTTTCTGCAGCCTGGCGCTAATAATATTTCTGTTTCTCGCATGTGATACCTTCGGGATGGTTGGTTAGCTATACTTCACTGAGCTCCTTTTTGCCCAGTGAGGTATTACCGAGTATTCCTATATTGATTAGTATCTACCTATGCTGGTATAGCACTGCCTACGTAGTAGGTATCTTGGTAGGTAACCCTGGAGAGCTTTGTATTTCTGCATGAGGTCAGTGTACATATGTATACATCTAGATCGAAATCTTGCAGAGGGATTCCGACTTCGGTGAAACCAAAACAACAGGCAGGCCAAAGCAGCAAATAGTGCGCCAATTTAAAGGCCCAAGGGCCCCAATAGACCCATAGAATCTAAAGAATTGCGCTGTGTCGACAAGTGTGTAATCCACGGCCTCTCAATGGAATGTTTAACATTGCAAACAGAACAAACACCGGGCATTGCAGGAGCTTTTCGGTTCCCCGGGCTATTACACCGGATGATGTCAAAGCCGAGCATCAAACGCCAACTCCTCATCCCTAGAGAGAAAAAGCAAAGTCTCAACTCTCCATAGGATACTGTACAGCAAGATGTCTGCTCCACGTATACTCCATCGCCTCGCGCGACCAGTGCCATCATCCATAAGCACAGCCACAAGACTAAACCGCCAATTCGGCGCAACAGCTCTACGCCTCAAAGATGGCAGCGACGAAGCTCCCCCCGGAGGTAAAGGCGCACCGCGCAAACCAGGCCAACAAGGCCCCGAATCAATTCGTGCCCAACACAACCTCCACCATGACAAAGGACTTCGTCAATGTCGGGCAGAAGCCCGCACCACCCGAGATGCTGAACTCAGCCAATCCCAACTACAGACCGTCCGATCCGTACCCCGGAAGGATTGAGCATTTCACCGGTGGTCGTCAGGATAACGGGGCGCAGAAGCCCGAGCTTGGCGTTGGTGAGATGGAGGGTATTACGTTTAAGGTTGAGCCTTTGAAGAGAGTTGGGGAGGAGCTAGCCACGAAGAGGGCACGTCTGCTATGTTCGTACTCATTCCCATACATGTCTGCGCCTCGGTCTCAATGCTAAGGCCGAGGACTTGATGCATAAATATGCCAAGAACCATTCAAGCTAATCAATTCCACCGCAGACCAAAGCCGCAAGCGCGGAATCCTGGAATCGGACCTGCTCCTCTCGACGTTCGCAGATGTCTACCTGGGCAAGATGGACTACGATCAGCTCGTCGAGTACGACAGCTTCCTCGACGAAAACGATTGGGACATCTACTACTGGGCGACACAGGACTCACCAGAGGAGATCTCACCCTCCACTCCTAAGGAGGATACCATCACCGAAACTTGGAAGGAGAGCGGTGCGAAGAGCGGTGAATGGGCGCAGACCATTGGCGCTTTCAGGGCAGCTTACCGGCCTGTACCGTCGCGCTGGCAGAACTCTGAGGTTCTCACGCTGCTCAGAGAGCATGTTCGCGATAAGAGTGCTACTGGCTTTGAGAAGGCCAAGAATAAGAAGACTGGTGGTGGTGGTGGCTTGGGAAGAATGCCCGATGTTCAGGTGTTTAATTCGTAAGGGGCATGTGGAAGAGATTGAACTCGGAGAGTTGGTCGATTTCAAAACTGTACTATAGTTGTCATAGTGGTCATATTGTCCATAGAAGGCATGTATTAAGAATGTTGTATATTTGATTGTACTGGGATCAATGGGTGTGGAATTCACAGATTGGGGTAGATGACCAAAGTCAGTTCTAGTTTCGAATATGACAGAGAAAACCTGAATGCAAATGGACATTCAATTCTCTATCTTCAATATACGTTGTCGAGACCCCGAGCTTGTCTGTATAGATCCAAGTCATGTGACTACTTCGCTTAGTATTAGGGCTCCACGGAACCACACAAGGAGAGCAGCGAAGCGGCTTAGGGCTTGAGCGGGCACGTCTGCCTCCCATCTCGATTTTACCTCCCCCCTAGAGTCAACGACAATCTCCGCCCATCCCTCTCTCTCCTTCATTGTCTCATTCCCATAATGGCTGAGCAGCTGGTTCTTCGCGGCACCCTTGAGGGCCACAATGGCTGGGTTACTTCCCTCGCCACCTCCCTGGAGAAGTAAGAACGACCTATCCCGATCGGGGATTGAATTTTTGAAGGGACAAAATTCTGACTGGAATGTTGATAATAGCCCCAACATGCTGCTGTCCGCTTCCCGCGACAAGACCCTGATCATCTGGAACCTTACCCGTGATGAGCAGGCCTACGGTTACCCCAAGCGCAGCCTCGAGGGTCACTCGCACATCGTCTCTGACTGTGTACGTTTTTCTTCTCCCGAATGAACCACGAAAACCATTGGATGCGACAGATGGCTGGATGGCGCATTTCGAAAATGAAAATAAAAGATGGAATGGTTTTGGCTGACCGATGGTCTTGTCTGCGTTATAGGTGATCTCCTCCGACGGTGCCTACGCTCTGTCCGCCTCGTGGGATAAGTCTCTCCGCCTCTGGGAGCTCTCCACCGGTAACACCACCCGCACTTTCGTCGGCCACACCAACGATGTTCTGTCCGTCTCGTTCTCCGCCGACAACCGTCAGATCGTCTCCGGTTCCCGTGACCGCTCCATCAAGCTGTGGAACACCCTCGGTGACTGCAAGTTCACCATCACCGACAAGGGCCACACCGAGTGGGTTTCCTGCGTTCGCTTCAGCCCCAACCCCCAGAACCCCGTCATTGTCTCCGCTGGCTGGGACAAGCTCGTCAAGGTACGCAATCGACTCCGAATTTCCCTGCAGAATCTCCTCCCCGCCTTGCTTTGCCCGCGTGATGTTTGCATAAACGTATTTGCTACTTCAGAGCCCTTCGGGGCCATGAGACAATTTTCACCCAATGCCTGATGGGCACAGCAACAATTTTTTTGGTTTTATTGAATGAGAGAAGGATTGGAAAAAAATTTTCCTTGACACTTGACATTCTTTACGAGGGTATCGACGCTAACATTTGATCCGCGTCTAGGTTTGGGAGCTCGCTTCCTGCCGTCTCCAGACCGACCACATCGGTCACACCGGATACATCAACACCGTCACCATCTCCCCCGACGGATCCCTCTGCGCCTCCGGTGGCAAGGACGGTACCACCATGCTCTGGGACCTTAACGAGTCCAAGCACCTCTACTCTCTCTCCGCTGGCGATGAGATCCACGCTCTCGTCTTCTCCCCCAACCGCTACTGGCTGTGCGCTGCCACCAGCAGCTCCATCACCATCTTCGACCTCGAGAAGAAGAGCAAGGTTGATGAGCTCAAGCCTGAGTTCGTTGAGAAGGGCAAGAAGAGCCGTGACCCCGAGTGCATCAGCTTGGCCTGGTCCGCTGACGGCCAGACCCTGTTCGCCGGTTACACCGACAACAAGATCCGCGCCTGGGGTGTTATGTCGCGCGCATAGATTTGAGTTGTTGTATCGGAGCTTGAGGAGCCTCTTTTTGATCTATTGACAAGGGAATTGAAAAAAAGTTCAAAAGATATGGCCAGAAGAGCATTGGTTTGGGATGTATGAGCCACGAGCAATGAAGCACTTCTCGCCGGGACTGAGGTGTCCCCGGCCTGGAGGTTTTCTGACATGTCTAGCCTACTTGATCCGCATGGAAAATGTATGGAATCTTGTACAAGACGTGTGATGTTCTAATACCAGTTAAGGCATCAAAATGTTTCCTATTTTTCTTCTAAAGATATCTTGTAAAACCATCGTACAGTATGTCTGTTATGTTATATATCTTTCCTCTCGTTTGTGCTCCCACTTGTGCTATCTATGTACGGAGTAGGGTAATGCTACATACTTTGTACATAAGTATGGTATGTATGACGAGGAGAGTCAAATCATATACAAAAAATGGTTTGGGATTTCTACATCATAATGTACATCAGGCTGAACAGAGACGCCTTCACGGTTCTACCCATTATTTCTTTCCAAGTCTCTTCAAGGCCTCGTTGGCCATCATACTCCCCTCCTCATATCCAATCCCATCGGCCAATGCCTTAGCCTCGGTATACCTCTTCTTAGCAACCTCTGGTTTCTTTTGAAGCTCAGCCAACTCGCCCAGGTTGTATGTCGCAACCACGCAGGTAATGTCACACTCCTCGTCCCGTATCGGGGGTTGAATGTGCGCCGCAACTTCAATGGCCTTCTCCGCCCATTTCTGCGCAGCCTCAACAGTCTGCTCCGCTGTAACAGGTTGCTGTGGCTGGGACTTAGGGGGTAGTTGAACCTGGCCAACCAGAGCGGTAGCGACATCGTTCAGCAGCACCACCTGTTTGCAAGATATGGAAGTTCCCTCGGCAGCGCGGATCAAATCCAACGCGCGCATATATAGCGGCATGGCCAGCTCATACCGCTCCTTGGCGGTATAAGTAGCAGCAAGCTCAGCCAACGCCGTCGCGATCTCAGTGAGATTCAGCCATGACTCCCCGTCTGACCCCTCGCCACTGCTAGAGCTACCAACAGGAAGTCCCAGCCTCTGGCGACGGTGCATTTCCTTCAGACAGATCTCCACAGCAGCGACCTGCGCAGCCTCAGCTTTCTTCTCGTCCTGTATATAATCGCTGGAGTAAAGCTCGCCAAGCTTCATCGCAATTCCAACGACCTTCTTGAGCGCTCTATCTCGCTGACGAGCCTCGTACTGCGCAATTGCTTTCAGGTCCTCCTCGGTTTCCTGGATCGCCTCGGTGTCAACCTTGACATTGGCCGGGGTCTTCTGCACTTGCGTCTGCGCTTCCTTCACCTTTTCGGCCGCGGCAGCAGTGTTCCCTGCTGTGACTTCCTCCACCCAGACCAGAGTCTCATTCTTCGTTCGCTCCAACACATCAATCGCCGGTTTCACAAGCCCGGCCTTCTCCAGCATCATAGCAACCTGCAGCTTGATCCCAAGAATCTCGTCCGAGTATGGATGTATGCCCATCTCAAATGCTATATGCAGAGCCTCTCTGTACGCCTTCATAGCCTTGGCCGGGTTGAGATCGATTTCGGTGTAATAAACAGCCGTGCGGAGAGCGTCGGCCACCGGCGGCGGGAATTTGTGGTACTGTGGCCCGACCCGTGTCACTTCCACATAGGAGATGTAGGCGAAGATGAAGGCACCACCAACAACCGAGATGATTGCTAGTGGCATGAGGATGGGGTTCTTGCGCCAGATTCCTTTAGATGCTTCGCGGTATTTGCGGCTGATTTTCTGCATGATCGTGAGGTGCCGTATACCGGAGATGTAGGGGCTTGCAAGTGGTTTGCCATTGTTGATTCGCGGTTGGAGGGTTGGTCGGGTGGTGCTGTTGATGTATATTGAGCGAGCGAGACTCTTTGGTTGTGGTTGTAGAAGTTTTGCGGCATGCGCGCTCGTGCGCCGTGATGCTGCGCGGAACATTGGGAGCGTGTGAGTGAGTATTTGACTGAAATCTCAATTTTCGATTTTATTCAGCGACTGGTTGTCTGATACAACCTTGGAAATTGACGTAGAGAATGGAGAGGGAGAGACGGAGAGGGTATATGGTGAGTGGTTGATGGAGAGCCCTCGATTTTCTGGTGGTCCAAGCTCCGCTCCGCCATATGACGTCGCCCGCTGGAGGACCTTCCCACCCATTCTGTCCGGAAAATGCACTGGTTTGACCAAGCATTGCTCGTGGAGATCCCTTCATTCAGTAGATATACTAGCTCACAGTGACCATGTGTGGACGATACGCTTTGGGCGTGGTATGTTACGGTTCCTCCATCTAGCCTATTCGCCAGCTGACCATCTCAAGCGCTTGGCGTACATCAGACACCGCCTGCAAGAACAAGGCATGCAAGTGGATGAAGCACCAGACGATGATGCAGTCAGAGAGACATACAACTTTGCACCGGGCAACTTTGGTGCTGTCTATCGCGCTGATATCACCGATAAAGGGAGCTACGATGCTCACCAAGATGCTGATAGCGAGCACCAGAAACAAGATTCGGAAAAGGGAAAAGATGAAGTGAGCTCAGATGCTGAGCCAATAGACAACGCAGTTATCAAATACAAACTCCAGAGCATGAAATGGGGTCTCATCCCATTCTGGACGAAGCGCCAGCCGGATTACGGGTCCATGATGCGCACTATTAACTGTCGCGATGATTCCTTGGCCAAAGATTCGGGGATGTGGACTACCATGAAGCGACGAAAGAGGTGTGTTGTCATCTGCCAGGGCTTTTACGAGTGGTTGAAGAAGGGGCCTGGAGGCAAAGAAAAGGTTCCACATTTTATCCGGCGCAAAGACGGGGAGCTGATGTGCTTTGCTGGACTATGGGACTGTGTTTCCTATGAGGGCATGTGCAGGCCTTTCTGATATGAGTACTAATCGGGCTGACGAAATAATTTGCACAGGTTCTGATGAAAAGCTCTACACGTACACGGTGATCACAACCTCTTCTAATCCCTACCTGAAGTTCCTGCATGAACGTATGCCCGTCATACTGGAACCCGGGAGTGAAGCGATGAATAAATGGCTGGACCCCCGCCAAAAGACCTGGTCAAAGGAGCTTCAATCGATTCTCAAACCCTATGAGGGCGAACTGGAGTGCTATCCTGTACCCAAGGAGGTTGGGAAAGTTGGAAACAATTCCCCGAACTTTATTGTTCCTGTCGACAGCAAGGAAAACAAGAGCAACATTGCAAACTTCTTTGCCAATGCGAAAACGCAGGAAAAATTAGATCCCTCCCCAAAAATGGAGCCTGGGTCGCCGAAAGTGAAGACGGACCATGCCGAGGACCGCGCTACTGAGGATTCAGAATGGACCGAGGACAATGCCCCAAAACCGGTGCCAGCTGTCAAGAGGGAGCATACTCCAGAAGCTCCTGCTGACGCCGAGGAAAGTAAGAAGCGAAATGTCAGTACAGATCCAACGGAGCCATCGCCGCAAAAGAAGAAGTTGCGCAGTGCTACCCACAATAGCCCTATGAAGAAGTCTGGTGGAACCAAGGCAGCAGATGGATCGCAACGAATTACGAGTTTCTTCAACAAATGATACATGTAATGAATCAAATGAATCTTTTTTACTTTCGACCGATATATATTTTTCCTTTTGTCAAGCAGGGATGGGAACAACACGACCAAGCTGTATTTAGTAGGTGACATTCATATCCAATGCGTCGATCAAACCCAGCTCCATAAAACAGGAGACTCGATTGACTTGCAAAATGCGTCGAGTCGATAACAGTCCAATGCAAAAGGACTGTGGTTAAAGAAAGCTGGGCAAAAAGTTCAACAGCAACCGAATGCAGGCTGGAAAGAAAGAGTAGAGCACTGAATTCACTGTCGAGGAAGGATATATATTTTACATAGGATTCTGTGGCAATGTACACTAATTTTGAAGAGGTCACTTCTCAAGCTCTCGTAGCTTCTGGACCAGCTTTTCTCTGAGGAAAGGACTCAACCCGAAACTATAAAATCGATCAACATTGGTACTAGTATAACCGAACATTTAGGAAGGGGATACTTACATTCCGTCTCGGGTTAGGATACGATAGGTACCTGCTAAGTATTAGCTTGGCCTGTTGGGTTTCACATAGTTGGAAAACATACCACTTGGCTGATAATTGCCATTGTCTCCAACGAACTGACCATTGGCATCCACCTCAAGGCTTCCGAACATATCCTCGGGCCTGTATGACATTAGTATAAGTCCCATGGAATAAAATGTGCTTGTTGAAACACAGACCAAGCAATCCGCCCATAGTCAGGCGGGCGTCTGCCGTCAGAGATATGAATCCAACCACCACGCCCACCAGAGCCTGCGCCACCCTGACCGCTAGCACCACTGCTCGAGTCGCCTCCACGACGTCTTCCGCGTTGGCCCGTTAACAACACACCGCCTGAGTTCAGGTTCGCCCCGGCCATAGACACCATGACCTGCGCTTGAGACTTGGCATCGGGGTCTTCATGTGCATATTTCGAGCACACTTCTTGTACTATATTCAGGAATTTTGGGTTTTCTTTGAAGGTGTCTGTTGTCGGTGGCAGTTGAGTCGCGAGTCCGATAGCCAGGTCTGGGTTGACTGGCTCGGAGGGCAATAGTGACAAGACGTGGGTTCCATTTGCTTGTTCATTTGGGAACACGTACTATCCAGAATTTAGCTTCAATGATGGCTCTGTAAGGTGGTGCAATAGCATACTATGTACGGAGACCCTTCCAATGTCGATACACAACGGAATTGAGTCCATTTGGGAAGAACCCGGGCCTGTCGGCCAAATGCTCTTGCTGCAAACATCGGAGATGTAAGTATATCAAGGTACTTGGCAGTGAGTAATTGAGCAACTTGGTATGAGGTTGGATATGATTAAATTCGAGAGCTGGATCATAGCTTGATAGGAATGGCAGGCGGTTTCGAATGCGGTAAATGAAGAAAAGTGGACCCAGTGTGCTAGCTCGATGCCATTTTTACCAGGCAAGAAATGCGGGTACGGGATTACCTTTCCCCGGAATCGTGGACCAGCCCTGGAGAACAGTATATTAGTCATCATATTTATGCTGGCCCGATTTGGAAGGTTGTCCATAAAATTGTGAGGTCGGGTAGGTGCGGCCCTTGGAAGTTTCCGACCAGGAGTGGCGAGCCTTAGAAGGGCCACCTCCACTATATTGAAGCGATAAACCCACGTGAAAGATCTGTCACATACTCAGTCTTGGAATTGACCTATTCTCGTTAATGGCTAACAGATCTAGATACAGCAAAGGCATCCATGTATGCAATATCCGTCATAAGTGCATACGACAGCCGTAGAGCGAGGATGTGCTAGTTGAAATATATTTCTCTTGACTAAAGAGGGTGGATTTGGTGAGGAGCGGTATGGATCCGTCCCCTGGTTATTGTAACCCCAAAAGTAGGCGTCGCCAGTCCTTAGTTCCTAGAGACCTCTAGACTTCATTGAAGGTTTCTTCTCTTCTTAAAAACCGTTCTGGGCTACTATTCCTTTTCAGAGCGTGACAAATCCTGATTTTTCCTATGGTAGCCTCAACTCAGGAACTGGGCATTCTAAAGACTGTTTCTGAAGTCAAACGGGGCTCCCCGAGTTCTAAGCGGTATACGGTTGGACGAAGCTTATTCAGTAGCGCATCGTTCGTTGGGTGACATGTTACCGTCAAAATAGAACCTCTATGTGTGTGGGCCTTGCCAACTCATCCACTTTGTATGCCGGATAGAGCTTTACCAGAGATTGGGCTTTTTGAAACATGCCTATGGTGTTTAGGGCGAAGAGCGCGATGGGGAAGGTTAAAGAAGCGTGGAGGGATGTATGTGGGAACCAGGGGGCGGACTGTAGTTGACTACCAATACAATTATCGCTAGCGCAGCACATGCAAGGAGTGTAGACCCTGCCACCTTGGCCGTAATATTTACACTAAAGGCAAAGGGTACCTCGAAGGTAGGGACATGTTCGCGTGTGGGTGGCAGTATACAGGTTGATAGAAAGGCGGTACACATACCTAGGTAGGCCCGGCGCGGCCTATCCATGTGCCTCCCCCGAACACGGGTCCACTATATTGAAAGGGTCCAATGGCTGGTGGGGATGGGGTGGTCAAAAATAAAGTTCGGTTTCTCCCGAGCTCCACTCGGGATCTCCCGTCTTATTCCCGAATTTCCTTATTGTTAAAATTTGCCAAAGTAAATGTCTTTCACTTCGCACACGGGTTTGACACCCGAACACTCGCGTAGAGGAAGGGTAGACGGGCTCTATATTGTTATTAAGAAAGCAGATTAAATATTTGTCGCCTGAGAGGTGGGGACCTTGGCCATTTGATTGTCAAGATTAACCAAAAGTTAGGGTTTTCCATGGAAACCTCATAGGGCAGTCTCTTTCCCTTGGAATTGACCGACCTAGTAGTGATACCTAGGTAGGTCAGTTGGAGGCGGGCTACCTGGTAATCCCATGGATTTACAAAACCTAAGGGAGGGTTTTCAAAATTCTTTTTTTTCTTCCTTCTCTGTTTGACTACTTATGACTTCGTTCTTGCACCTTGATCTCTAAATTTCCGACAGTTCCCACCACTGGTTATGCTATGTTTGCTTTATCACAGCACATGTAATACCCGGCCTTCTCGCACTTCTAACATCCCGATGCCGTAGATCGTTCCTTATGATCCCCGATATGAACTACAAAGCCAGGGAAAGGCATGTAATAAATGCATTGGGGGTAGATTAAAAGACCCGTGGCGACGATAAAAGTGTCTGAGGTGTTGTCGGTCATGCAGGCGGTGCATACCGCAGCATGCTCTATAACGACAATTCTAGGATCCCCGCTGAACCCGGAGGTAAAAGACCATGGCATGCATTCGATGGTTGCATGTACACTAACCAAATATGTCTGTCTTTTCCCTCGTCTTCAGCCAACAGTGTGTTGTCTCACACCACCAAAACAGGTGGACCCAGTGCTCTCGCGCAAAAGATTGCCTTGTTGGAGAAAGCATTGCCTTGTGATTCATGACAAAGACCGAAAAAAAAAAGAAAGAAAAGAAAACCCATCATCCTTGACAGTGTAACGAGATAGAACGAGACCCCATGCTATGCCCCAGCCGAGACAAGGTCAAGCTCGCCACATGCCATACCAAGAGTATTTTGAGAGTGGATTGCTTGTATAGCGAAGATACAATAGGGGGTAGCGTTGTCAAAAAGTCTGATCACTAGCTAAAACTGTTTGTTCCTATAGGAGATATTCTCAGTTGATATGGTGTGAAGGCCGGTTTATCCCTCCCTACACTATCCCGAGCGAGAGAAGCCGAGGGTGTCGATTGCTCACAAGCAAGGTTGGGGAGTTGAATGGGTCGAGAATCCAGATGTGGCTCCACTGCGACAAGCATGTGAAAATATTGTCTTTCGAGTCAATTGGCGGAATATGTGGGCTGTTAATTTGTTATGGATCCCTGCAGACATAGTCCGGCCACAACCATGAATCCGACTCCCTACTTGTTAGTTATTATTTCAATGAACAGCAAATGAGAGTTGGCCGGAGTAAAACAGTTACACTAGTGCATCTTGAAGTATATCTATTGACAGAATAGATGAATCAAATACTGTGGTTCAATCAGAATGGGGCCATTGAAGATATGACGATGAATGCAAACAATGCAAATAACATCAAAGCACGTGATCGTGTCTTTTGATGGAGCTGTCTGTTTCGGATGTTCTTTGGAACCGAATCCTGCCTGTTAATTGCAGTGTCCATGGGAACGGGGGAGCTTCGGATGCGTCATGATACTTGATCTGTACAATAATTTGACAGTTCTTCCCTTGTGTACCCGCCAAATCACGACTTGCGCGGTGAGAATTGAGTCGCATTCAAACATACTCGGCTTCCTTGCGTTCTGTGCTTCGATACTTCTTATGATACCCATTTTTTTCGGACGGATTTTGCTGTATCTAACTTTCAATTACTCTTGACATCCTGCTCTGGCCATTCCTTCCATTTCACCATGGCGACTCCCTCGGCCAAACCTGGCGCAACGCCAACTCACCTCTCCTCTCCCCATCCGTCATCCGCTCCTCTATCTCGATCACTCGCCCATAAATCGCCTTCGATGAGAACACCGACAGGTTCGGGACCCGCACATGCGCATCAAACGAGTGTCTCATCCCATCAGTACGCTACCCCTCTCGCCGCCACTAGTGGGGTCGACGACACTGTCAATTTCAGCTCACCTTCGGCTCTTTTAGCGCTTGGTGGGTATACTGGCATCAGTCCTTCTCCTGCGGTGCATGACGGTCTTGTTGGTGCGGGCATGAACGAGAGCGACATCCAAAACCTCGGGATGCAGGGAATCAAGCTCGGAGTCGCGCGCGACAACGACGAAGAGCAGAGGCATCGCGTTGAGGAGGTGGTTCAGCTTCTACGGGCCCGAGTTTCGGGTAGAGGAGTTTCACGTGAAAGCGTGGAACGGCTGAGTCGACTCGAAGGTTTCGAGTCCATTTGGCAGGACGATAATCTCAACATCGCCGGTAACTTCGTCGATCTTGAGATTGATTTCTACGCTGGTCA